CGATTAGCACATACCAGCCACCCATTTCCAATACTCCATCCTACTACACCCCATGCATTTCCTTTGGCACGAACCGCGAGGGGGAATATTTCTGCAGGATACAGCCACGGAACCGCTGTGACGATGTGGTTAGTATCTTGTGGTGCTTGCCATACGGAAGTGCGAATGAGCGTGTTGACTTACTGAGCCAAGTCGCTCCAAAGACAGAAGTGAAAATAAAGACCATAGAGGCGGCAGCAGCACCATACGATGAAGCCTTGCCGGTATCTCCTGCAGCGTTTGCCTGTTTACAGAGATACGAGAAGCCTCCAGCAAGGAACATCGCGATTCCCTGCCCGACGGAACCCCAGTACAAGGTCCAGCGACGGCCAATACGGTCCAAGGTGAAGACACAGACTAAGGTTGAGAACTGTGAGTGTGATTAGCAATGTCTATCGACAACCCTTTCTCAATCAGTCTTACCATGTAGAAGACATTGTTCAGACCACTCACCCACTGGCTTTTCTCGGTATCAAAGCCAGCCATTCGGAAGATGACGGGGGCATCTGCCCTCAGTTAGTCTCTCTTCATTACTGGTTCACCTTAGAAATGTTGGTAGCAAACGGTCTCACTTACAAACTGTTACCCCCGCAATTCCCACCCATTCCTGCATGATTTGCAGCCATACAACCAGCTGTACCCGGCGACCGATGTGAAGATTGCCTGAACCTCTCCCAGTGATCATGGAGAAGTATGAGGTGCTGTACTTCTGAGATCTTTCGAGCTCCGCAACGTTGCATATATCCCGGAATTCAGCCTCTGCCTTGTTTCCGTCCTCGGGGCCTGTTCCACGTAACCGACCGAGGATGTAGCGTGCTTCCTCCTCGCGACCAACCTTGACCAACCATCTTGGAGACTCGGGGAAGAACCAGACGAGGCCCAGCAATAGGAATAAGAGAATAATTTGGAACGCAATGGGAAACCGCCAACGTATGGCTGAACGCCCTTCATCGATGAACGAAAGGCCGCTGGAGTATAATATTAGCACGAAAGCGGTCCAACGTGGTGTACGAGGTCTGTCGCTGGATGACTTACAATTCTAACCAATATGCCACCACGACACCGAAGATGTTCAATGTGAATTCGATTGCGATGAATTGACCACGAGATGTGTGTTCGGCCGTTTCCGTTGCCCACACGGGAACAATTGCATTCAGAACTCCAGTGCCAACGCCGTTAATCAACCGAGCTAGTCATGGTCGTGATCCATCAGTTCTGTTAAGCAAGAAGAATATGTGCCAGGTTACCATGGGTGTGGGCAGGGCATACCGCAGATAATCCATTGATGATTCATAGCCGAACACTGCAGTGCAGCACCAATAATGGCCCACACTGATCCAACTGCAATACTCTTCAACCGTCCGATTCTTTCGCCAATCCAACCCCCGAAAAGAGCGCCGACCAGGGTACCTAAATAATAGACGGAGACAATGCCACCCTGAAGCAGACTGTCGGTGACAACTGGGACATTTGCATCACCGTCTATATTCGCTCCGTAGCCTATTCCCATGAGCTCGAGATAATCGCTGGAGTTGTTCACTCCCCCCATCATCCCTTGGTCGTAGCCGAAGAAGAATATAGCCAAGGCAGCCACGCAATTGATGGCGACCAGCAGTTTCCGCTTCTCCAACTTGTGGACGACATTCCACCTATGGATCTGGTTCGTCATGATGATTAGGCCGATAGGCGACTGGGGTATGAGCCTCAGAAAAACAAGATAGCTGGGCAGATAGGAAGGTCTGCAGATTGCAGAGGGACAAAATATGATGCATTGTATTCTCGGGGGGTATTGAAACTTTTATACATTCCTGACGGCTGTACCCCAGATCCAGGTTGTTGGACCCCAACGTGGAGAATCCGGGGAGACACGCCTACATACAGCTTACAGTCACGATTCCTTGATAACTACTGACGGATTCCACGCCGTTTTCTCCGTTAGTTCGCAAGTGTTCCCCACTTGGACCCGAACCGCTAATCCTAGTCTGTCGTAGAACACGAAGTTCCAGTCTTCTATGGCACGTGCCGGCATAAACGCCGTTGTCGCCCGCGCGCTCGCCCTGGCAGCTCCACCGAGACCACTGTCAAGACAATGTCATTGTGGATAAACTCGTCACGATTTCCCCATTCACCCTTTACCTCAAAGGGTATCAGGATAGTTTGACTTCAGCGAATGCTATAGACCCACCAGGAAGTCGGATACCAGCCCAAGGTGGATATGTAGTGCCGTCGTCCGTAGCAAAAGGTCATCTGGAGGATGGCAGGAGACACAGCGAGCTATGGTGAAATAATACTCTCATGGCCTCAAGGCTCTCATGGGTGTCATCGACGACGGATTTCAAGTCATATCTAGGTGTGTGTGTCGCTTGTTGCTATCCTCATTATACCATCAACGAAGACCCCAATCCTGTCTTTAGATTCTGTGATTTGATCCACCTATATTATAGCAGAGCGCTTCGCACTCCGCTATTATCACAGGGGCAGTATCTCCGACTCCCAGGGATCGCAGTTACCGTCGTTTTGGGTTGAGCTACCACCCTGGGAACGGCGATACCACAATCGGATTCCGGACCCATCAGACAGGGCACCTGCACGCATCGCACAAATACGCGCACGCTCAGGAACAAGCTCGCCCTGAGTAAGACCCTCCGACTCAATCTCGATCATCCGATTCACAACAAAAGCTGTCCCGGAACTTGTCCAGGCCCCTTCTTGAAGGTGCCATCTCTGCAATAGCCGCACCGCCTCTCTCCGAATATACCAATCGCGGCACCGGAAGGCACAAAGGTAGAGAGGCGGGATCATACCCATTCCGACAGAGAATGTTGGTATGGGAGACTGACTGAAGTCGGAAGAAAGAACAGATTGGGCGAGCTGGACCACACGCTGGAAGTTTGATGTGAAAGAGTCAAACCTGCTTTCTCCCTCGTCTTGCCTACTATCTGTCGAGACTCGGATGATGATGATTTCAGTCCACAAGTCGAGGGCAGCTAGCGTATGACGATCTCTTGGTGATAAAATCGCTTTCTTGCGAGTGAGTGACTCGGTTAATTCTGTCTTCCAAAGCTGGAGCTTGTGCAAAATCGCGTCCTGGTGTTTATCCAGGATCTCCCTAGCCACGGCCATCTTACTGTTGTCCGGGTCGTTCTCACAGACGAGCCACGCCAGACCAATCAAGAGATTACATGCGTCTCCGAGGGAATGTACAGGCTTGCGCCACACCGGGTTCTGGATAGCCATGGAATGAACGATGGAGTGATCGTGCTCTAAGATCACCGCCTCGGGCTCCCGGAGACTCGCCCAGTGCAGCTCTAAATGGTAGAATACATCCGTCAACGCTCGTCCATACTCCCTGCTCTTCTTCGTATTGCTTAGGTATGACTCCTGGAGGAGACGGGCCCCATGCCGTAGATGACAACTGGCTGCGTTGGTATCTCCTTGGAGGAATGCAAACGAAACGAAAAGAACGCAAGTAACCAACGTGATGAGCATGTGGGAATCCTGCCCACAGCTTGCACTCTGCAATCTTTGCTGCAAACAAGCAATGGCCTTATTACACTGTCGCAGGGGAAACAATTGAGGATCGTCTTGATTTCCCAGCTTCTGTGAAGACTGTATTGTGTCGAAACTTCGATGGAGGGCACTGATGGCAATGATCGCATGACGGACAGCCGGCTCCTCCTCACTGACCTGATGCACCATTTGATGCCAAAATTCCAGCGGAAAGTAGCCCGAGCATTGCGACGCCGTGCTGGAGCGAAAGAAACCCAGATACCAACGCTCGGACAGCGACAGATCGGCTTGGCTCGGATCTACTAAAAGGCGGGAAATCCAGGTACCGGATTCCTTCGCCACAGTAACTTGGTTCTTTCGAACTTCAATTGTTGTCGTGTATGGTAAGTCAACCGTGGCTTTGGTGGTTTTCCAGGCTCGAGTCCTTCGATCGATGGTGTCCTGATAGCCGCCGCACTCGCGCCCTGCGTTGACACAAGTGCGACAGCATGGGCGAGCCTCGTCACATTTCTTACGCCGAGCCCTATCAAGCTGGGAATTAGTACTGAACTGCCTATCGAAACAATCGCTGCCGTCACGCTCCTCGGTCAGGGGCAGCCGGAGCGATATCCTAAGTCGGATTATCGCGCGTCGTTGGGCGATCTTACTTGCAGGTCACACAGCCAGTGCGCACCTTGGGACGGCTCGTTCGAGAGCGTCGCTCCTTGGGTGGTGTGTGCAGAGGGTCCATTTTAAATCTCTTGGGCCTCTCCTGGATCTCGCTTGTCCAGGTTCATTGCGTGACGTGTTGGAACAGAGACACGAGGTGGGTTGCGGCGGTTCTGCCGAGGAGTGGAGACTGCCACCGAACTCTCGTTCAAGATCGGCGCTTTTACTCAACTTCATTGGCCAAGAGAATGATCTCGACTCGGTCTTCGGTCGGTCGGCGTATATGCAGCCCATTCTTTTGAGCTGCAATGCCTATTGAATGCGCACCCTCAAGCGTTTCCATGACGCGAACGATCTGAGCTGGTGGTTGATTGCGGATCACTCAAATTAAGTACATGAATACGCGTCCTTATCTATCCTTTTCTCCCTTCCTCTTACTTACAACATGATCATCCACTTCTGATCCGCTGTTCGTGCATGTGTTGCTGGCTTTCAGGGTATGGTCCCAGATTAAACCCACATTTAATGCCACAGAGGATAGATGCTTTCATACTTGGCGCAGTTGGAGTATACGACAGACTCATAAACAGCATTCGCTGGAGACCCCTGCCGGCTACTCCTAACCAAAGAGCAATCTCCAGTAGTTCACATACCATTCAACGATATTGGCGGTTGCTTTTTATTTAGGCTAAAGAATCAAGACCTGCTCTGGAGTTTCACGGCACAGGACATATAAATGAGCTGACATATGCAGTGTAGTATGTCCTTTGCACCAGGATATATGTGACAGCGCAGCCCAGGAATGTCACAGTACAAAAACTACACGCTAAACGGGGCTAGGAGCAGTATCCTCCAAACCCAAAGGCCCGGGGGTCTAGTCGAGCAACACAAGCTATTTCAAATAGATTTCGTGGCAATTTGCTTCTGCTCAGAATTGACATAATCCTTCAACCCTACAGCTGGGCGTTGTAACATTCAGATGGGCCACTTTGACGTTCCATCTTGCTCTCTGGGCTTGCATCAAGCAGGGACGACAATTCCTCCATCCTTCCACGAGCTGCCATCATAAACTTGGGCTGCAATGGCGCCGACAGGGTTCAATTTCTTGTAAAATAGAGTCACCTTGCCATTGACAACAAGAGCACTGAAGCGTGTTCCGGGGTAAAAGGGTGCAACCTCAACGGTCTTGTCATCAACGCGGTGTTTGATTTTGGACGGGCTGCTCTTGTCTGCAAAAAAGACATGCTTCTTGCCATCATTCACTGCAGCAAGGGGGGTACTGTTTCCCACTTCACTTGCTGGGACAAGGGTCTTCTTGTCTGGACAGGAAAAGCTAGTCAGACATCTGCGATATAGATATGTTTCGTCACAGGGAGGCTTACCATGCCATGAGCTGTCCTGACTGACCCAGTGATTGATATTTTCCTCATGGTCCTGGTAGTAGAGGTCAATGGTCCCCTTGACGATACTACTTGCCAGGTCGGTTCCTGGGAGTGCCAGAACGCTCTCCGGTAACACTGTTTCGGTATACCACGGACTCTTCGGGACCCGGCGGATCTCGGTGATTTGTAGTTGAGTACCGCTCTCTCTGCTGGATGTCAGTAGCATTCGAAGAAGTGCACTAATTGAAAGGTCTTACGTGTTGAAGTAGACCCATTGGGATCCATCCGGATTCCAGTCGGAGCCATTGAATGACCCACCAGTAATCCGGGAGATCGACGCAGGTTTTGCCGAAATTCCATCAAGCTTCCCATCTGTCCAGGTTCCGTCGGAAAGAACCTTAACTCTGTCGGCAACTTTCGCGCTGGAATCAAGGTAGACGACATGAATCTATACCCATAGTCAGCTGAGGACACCGCTCCTGGTTACCCCGTGTATTGGACTATACATACGGTCGACTTCTTTTCGAAATCCCCATCGTGCTGAACATAGTATGCAGTCAGAGCCGAGCCACCCAGGGCAGCGTTACTAGTAACCGTGGAAGCCTTGGTCGTCCAGCTTGAGCCTGACTCAGAGTGGGCTTCGATGATATCTTTCCCGTTCTGATAATATAGGAAGCTGTCTTTGCCATTGGTTGTGACCGCAGCCAGGGCAGTGTTGACAAGGGAGCTCATCTTGTACGGCAGAACTGGCTGTGTGATAGTAGAATGGTTTCCGGTAAAAGAGAAACGGTTGCTTCGCTGATGTTTAACAGAAGAGCAGGCTGGGCTTTATATCTTGGAGGGACGGACTTTGCGAAGGTGACAGTTAACCACAAAGACAGCAGGAGCGCCATACTGAGGCCAGTCGCTGCCAAGATGGTGTGCTTCAGGGATTTCCTGCATGCGGGGATGCCAAATCTCTGATGAAAGATGATGCCATCCTGATAGATGGCCGAGGCCTCAGCAGAGCGAAAGTGTGCTGCATACGCTTCGAGAGGTGCGGCACTCCATAGTATACCCATGCACCTGTGTGTTGGACGCATCTCAGAGGTCTGCTCATGCAGTGGAATGGTGAAATGAACATGTGAAGACATTGCCATTTGCTGAATGTGACGGCCAGAAGTTGCATGGCTGGCTGACCTGTGTGAGGTGCACAGCTCAACTGGAGATTGCAGAACCCAATGACATCCTCATTCGTGCTTCTTTACGTCACGAACTGCAACGAATATTGCGAGGTGCATTATTATTATAAATCAAAACTGTACTGTGCACTGGGCCATTCAGCGCGTTGCATATGCCTTGCAAACGTCAAGATGGGCATTCTCCAGTCCATGACGTTCAAAGAATCCTATATCACACCCCCTTTTACATTCCATGACATCCCTTTCTAGAACGGAGGGAATTTGGAGTCTAGCCAGGAAATACATCCACCAACCAGTGCAGTATTTTCAGAGCATATGCCCCACGTTGGTCTATGGCGCGATCATCCTACGTGTTATGCATGCCAAGAGCTGAAGCGATCAGCGTCTCGTTGGGTGTTCATTCGCCCATCATTGTTCACGTAGTGCGAGTCATGCATTAGGACATGCTTCTTCACCAGCCGGATGTCGAGGAAACTCAGACCCCTGCAGGCCAGTCTCGAGCATGTCCATTCTCTCTTGGCATACCGTGCATCCCTGTTCCTTGGCTTCTACCCTATGGCATAACGTGCCCATACGGAAACTGTGTAACTGGGTGATTTCTATCGTCGGTGGTGTGATCACATATTGTCGTCCCTTAATGTTCTGGAACTGCCTTGACTTGGTCTGCTATAACCAGAGTCCGATAGCTTAATGTAAACTGGCTAGAGTAGACGTAACTGAGCAAGAATAAGCCCACAATATCGGGCAACAAACCTTTGCCTCATTACGCCCTTTGTTATATAATGAATTATGTCACTCAACCGAGACAACACGGCTTTTCTATAACTTTTTCATCCACCAACCACCAACCACTACATGCGCCCGTCCATGATGGAGATAAGCGGAAACCTTTCGAGTGCCTACTGCTACAGAGCCATTTGTGACTTTTATAGTGCCCTGACTGTGGGGCGGATTACTTTTCATCATCCAGCTCCTCGAATTACTTGATCGTACGCAAAGAAGCATTTATATAGCTCCCACGGCAGGATGTCTAGAGATCGACAAATATCTCTGAGACTATCAGCTTTGAAAGAAACGGGCCACTCCGCATAGTGTTAGCTGAATGCCAACCGATCAGCAAAAACCGGATCAGACCCTTTTCTTACTGGTAATTGCCAATGTTCCCCAGGCTGCTGTGTCATATTCGGGGATTTGCCCTTTTCAAGCGTGGAGAGCTGTGGCAGGATTAATCGAAACAACGTGTCTTGGAATGCCGAGGAAGGATGGACTACCTGCCACGTAGCAGGACCTTTTCAGCTAGCCATCATGCTTGATGCAGTTCCGGCTGCTGCAATAGCCATTTACTACTCCGGGCTGAAGCACCAAAAGAGCCAATGGAGTTTCTCACACGTTGAGCCACAAGCTCAGCATGCATGGATCTATTTAAAGCCAGAAACCCATTTGGCTTCGTTGCTTTTTCTTCTTTGTTTCTTTCTCCTTAGCTAGTCTTAATCTAAGGTCCCAGTAGTACGTATATTCTAGTCTTTAATTGTTCCATATTGACGGCTTGATCATATCGTCTTTTGGCTAGAACGAGCACTTTGCTCAGGCGTCTGTTGTATATATGCGCAGGTGGTAGACATGAGCTAGGCCATCAGCCCTAAATGCAAATCCTACATTCATTGAGATAGCTCCACTGGCTCAAGGCCAATCGGAATGCCCGACATGACACATCTATGAGAAGATATCCGGATGTATCAGCCGCACCACCCACCAGAACAGTTCATTTATGGTACTATGTTACATTCATTGCCACTATTGCCTAACATAATCCTCAATAGCACGCTGTGTCGGGGCTTCCGCTGCACGAAGGGTACGAAAAGTATCCACCCAATATTGCATTGAGCTTCGCCCTCCCTGAAAGGTGGTTGCCCTTGACAAATCCACATTAAAGAGCTCTGGCTGTGCCCCGGATTTACGTCATCAACATACCCGTGGAGCGTCTACCAAGAATTCCAATTCATAGCTTCACGAAAGACTCGGCGGACCTAGGAAAATACTGTATGGAAGGGTACAGCTGGAACGCCATGTTGGAAGACTGGGCTGGCTGAATACCCCGGGGCTACCTTTGAGGTGTATACGATCTGAGGTAATCGGGAGCCATGGGATTTGGAATTAATGATCCTCTCGATTCATCTAGGACAGGTATACTCAGGAGTAACATTTAATGAGATGCCAAATGTTATAAATATGCGCTCCTATCCTTCATCTATTACACCAGTTCATCAACACCTGAACATTTTCTACTCCCTTTTTCATCAAACCTGCCCATCTGTTGAAATCCCGTCCTTGTCTGGAATTCAAACCTCCAACATGCATTTGCAAGCACTTGTGCCCCTTATTCCTCTCTTTGCCAGCCTTGCCGTTGGTCAATCATCTAACACAGCGAGAGCACTTTACAACAAAATCTGCCCTGAAAACGACGGACAAGAGAAAGCAATCAACTCCAACGTCCTGGTCACGTACCATTGTGACCAGCGGCCAATCAGTCGAGACAGAACAGTCATATCCGCTGGGAGTCCGGATGAATGCACTACCATATGCAGTAAGAGCCCCAGCTGCGAAGCCAGCTTGTGGGCAGGTAAAGAGACCACAGCGGGCCGACAGGCGAACACGGCCAAATCGTGCGTTCTTTACCACAGCCTGGGAGGCTCCCTCATCCCTGAATCGAACGTCGTTTACATGACCCACCGAACAAAGGAGGACCCCCTGTTCCCGGATGAAGATGACGAGTGCAAGGATGACAAGGCTCGAATTGGACATTTGCAAGTCCAAGTGGACGATCTGAAACGCCAGTTGGAGACTTGCAATGGGAAATGCGAAAAGGGATGCTTCGAGTGCCCGGAATACGACCAGGATCATATCTATGACCGAGGAAACGATTACAAGGTTTACTGCGGCTTGCGTAAGTAGCTCGATTCTTTCATGCGCATCTAGAGTCTTGTCCTGTCTACTAATGGGCGTATCACCTAGTCGACGACGCCGGCTGGACTTCAGACGATCTCGCTACATTCGGCGATAAGACCCCGAAAGAATGCGTTCAGGCCTGTACTGATACACCGAAGTGCAAGCGCGCCATCTGGGTAACCGCTCAACCCTCAAACAAAAAGGGAAGCTGTTGGCTGAGAGATTACACGGTGCGAGCTGGTCCTGTTCCCACGAAGAAGACGGGTTATAGCAGTGCCCACGTGCAGTGAAGCCATGACATAAACTGATCCTTTTACCGCGTACAAATAACTCTCTTCGCGCGATTTGAATGGAGTGGTGCGCAGTATCTATCCTCCTGCTTGGTATTCAACATATCGAGTACGCAATCACTATTGATGGGAATCGCCCAATCTGCTTTGTTTGGCTTTTATTTAGGAAGAAAACGATAAAAGATACTCTCTGTATTTCATATTAGTTATGAATTTACATCCGTCTTGTTGTTCTTGTTAATCTCTGTCCCTGTATGAGTGTTTCTTGTACTGTGGCACTTGTCTAAGGTCAGGGCTAATCCTATATCTCTATCAACGTGAAGAGAGTGCATACCCAGTAGTTCATCATGCGTACTGACTGCAATTCGGCACATTATTGAATAGTTCTATTATCTAGTCCACATCAGGACGTACATGGTATAATTATGATTGATTCTACAAGGGTGAACAAGACCGAGAGGTAGATTCCGAATCTCAAACACTCCTCGCCGGGTCCTCACTCGAATAAACCGACATCTCGACCTGTTTCGTAATGCCTTGATCCGACCGATTCGACGACGTTTGATGGCTACCGATAACGGTGTTGTGCGAATAGGGGTTTAGAATACGCTCAATACTACACGTTTCGGCATCGTTATTCGTCGCTAATTTACGGCGCGACTGAGTGGTTGCATTCTCACCTGTGCGACGATTCCCAGAAAAGGGGTTGTGCAGTTCATACGAACGGGAGAAGCTGTGGCTGGAGAATTTCTTGACGGAAGACATGACCAGCGGCCGGATGCAAGGGATCGACGAGGTGATGATAATCACGGCGGTTTCCACATAGCCCCAGCGGATGAGCTCAATGCCACCGGAAGCACCCAGGTTCGTGATGCTGGGGAGTTGGTCGAGTTTCGTTGTTTTCACGATAGATGCCACCATCGCCCTGGGCAATCGTTAGTAGCTGTGCGTTTCCTGCGCGGAGAGAATCGGAGAGCGTACACAAGACCTAGACTGAGTAGAACAATCAAGCCGAGCTTGACACGCGTTTTCAGGTTGAGGTTCCAAAAGACAGGGATGGGAAACACGGCCAGAAACAAGTCGGTGGCTGAGTTGACGGCTGGTAGGCAGTTAGTTCCGCGGTCTTGTGAGAGAAGACAGCAATGGCGAGGAGACGTACTGTTGGAGTAGTAGGCAAATTTGATCACTGCGCTACTGTCACCGCACGTCGTCTTCACGGTCGGATCCCAGAGAATCCGGACATCACGGCAGATGCTAAGAGGGAGGACAGCGGAGACGATGTTGCCGGAGAGCTGCCAGATCATGATAAACCATAAAGCGAATCGATACGTTTTGTTGGAGCCGAGGATAGCGAGGAGGTATATGATAAAGGAGCAGCGGGCAATGGTGGTGCTCATAGTCACAATCGGAACCTCGATCGCGATAGCTTTCAACACGGCCTCCATATCCTTAAGCGGCAGGGTCTCCAGGTTCTTGCCAAACCCATGACTAACTGACAAGGTCAAAAAGACCGTTGCGACGATCGCCAGAATCTGGGCGAGTCAGTTGACGTAAACCTTCAGGTATGGGAGAGGCCAACAGAGATAATTGGTATAGGGGTGGGTAAGGGCGCATACCATAGCAATGATCATCAAGATGTCATCCACGCGGAATTGGCCGATCTTCAGCTTAGCGAAGACCCTGAGAACAACAATCAGTGTCGCCAGGGCCATGGCGACCCAGATTCCCGTCCGCAGGGCTGGGCCGCCATCGGGTTCACTTGCGCCCATGACTTTTTGCGCCCTGAGCAGGACCGGGATGGTGAAGCAGAGTTACAGGGGGTGGACTTATTGACAGGGCCTCTTCAACCAAAACATTGTGGAGGCACCGCAGTGTCAGTCATACTGGACCTGGTCCTGCCAACTAGATGGCATGGCACATATAACTAGTCAGGACTTTTTAGAGTTTGAACAAGAGATCTCAATCCGGGCACGAGCTGCCTGACTTTCCGGCTGGATCGAGGGATAAGCGAGTAGGAAACCAAGGTTCCCCCCAAATTTTCCCAGGATCCGGCATTGCTTGTGATCCCAATGGAAGATTCGTTGACAAATCGTGCTCTCGGGTCGGCGACATACCAGCCAGGTACCCGATTGTGGCTAATTTAAACGAAATTGGACGCTCTCTTTGGCTGACTGGTGACCATAGGATTCGGCATTGCGCCGCTGAGATTTGAGGGTGTCTCTTGAGAACCAAAGATTGGCGTGGGTCTTTATTGAACTTAAAAAAATCCCGACTGCCAACCATCAGGCAAGGCCTAAATGGCATCTGGGACTTCTCAAAAGAGGATCCACTGTGCATGATGCACGCCCTGGCCGAGGCGCCATGAGCTGCAGCCGTTTTATACGAATTCAGTAACAGTGGAATCGACAAGCGCCGGCTGCAGTTTCATGTCAATGTTAATCTCGACGCTCAGAGGGGGAGAAATAGTAGATCAGACTGGTGACAACCCTGAATTTGGGACTACATGACAAGAGCCTTGCCACCGGAGTAACGGAAATGACCCATTCCTTCCAGGATCCGCCGGTTGTTCCAAACCCTTGCGCCGTTCGGCGTATACGAGTTTTCAGATATAGTGGGTTACATTCGCCCTTACTGCTTCCACCACGGGAGAAAAAGCAAGACACCGAGAAACCGAAACCACTGAATCTATGCCCAGTTCGGCAAATACACGAGGCAATGCTTGTTCTCCGTGGGCGTGCGCCAACTGGGTCGGCGTCCAATAATTCGAAGACTGGACTCTTGTGGCAGACTCACAGACCAACAAGCAGACCCACACCGCGCAGGCAGAAGCAGAGTTTTTCGGCCCAGATCCGGAAAAGGTTTAGGGCTTCAGACTTGAAAAAGGGATGACGAGATGGAATGTCTCTATTATGTTAGTCAGAGACCAGCCTCAGAGCACTTGCATGGCATGGTCGCTACCAGAAGGGAGGTAGAGAAGTTCCCCTTGGCATCGGATATTGTGCCTAGCCTCATGGAAGTGCGGATCGATCTGGGGACGGACGTAACTGAGGATGGACAATGCGCCGAGAGATATATCAGATGCAGTCCTCGGATGTCGCCGGCAAATCATGAAGCGATACCCACCCCGTTCTCGACTCCTTGGTTCCTCCGCCCAGACTAGACGCGCTTGGGGAAACATCTCCGGAGGCTGCTCATGAGGTTCCTGGCGACGATGCCTCCGCCACAGACAATAGATCAAGATGCCTCCCCTGACGCCTCGGTGTAGTGCAAAAGCGCAGAATTAATGTGCGATATAAATTCACCCTGGTCCGAGCCGTTGCGACCGTGAGATTTTTGTATTCGGTGTAAATCCTTCCCTTGCTTCCGCATTCTCTCCCCACGCAACCATGAAGGGCTCCTGGATGTTGGCCGCCGCCACGGCGGCGCTCACTTCAACTGCGTTTGCGGATTGCAACTGCCACTGCCTCCCTGGCGACAGCTGCTGGCCCTCCACGTCGTCCTGGGAATCGCTCAACACCACGGTCGGTGGTCGCTTGGTCGCAACCGTGCCTATTGGAAGCCCCTGCCATGATCCCAACTACGATGCCGCTGCTTGTGCGGCGTTGAAGTCCGACTGGACCACCCCACTGCCTCAGTATGTGCTACGAGTTATTCTTGCTTAATGAGAAGATACTAACGGTAGTCCCCGAACAGTCTCGAGTCTTCGTCCTCGATCATGCAGACCTACTTTGCCAACCAGAGCTGCGACCCCTTCACTGCGGAGTCCCGGCCATGTCTCCTGGGCAACTTCGTCAGCTACGCAGTCAACGTCTCGTCCAGCGACGATGTCATTGCCGCCGTGAAGTTTGCCAAGGAGAACAACATCCGTTTCGTTATCAAGAACACTGGTCATGAGTGAGTACCCTGTGGAATTGGCCTGCATCTAGACAAGGCTGACCAAGATTCCTCCAGCTATATGGGCCGCTCGACCGGCGCTGGCGCCCTCTCCGTGTGGACGCACCATCTGAATGACATTGAATACAAGGATTGGTCGGATTCGTACTACCAGGGTCCCGCATTCCAGGTTGCCGCCGGTGTGATGGGATACCAGATCCTCAACGCCGCCCATGCGAAAGGGCTGGCCGTTGTGACCGGCGAGTGCCCGACGGTCGGCCTCGCTGGTGGCTATATCCAGGGTGGTGGTCACTCGGCCCTGAGCACCAAGTTCGGCCTGGGAGCCGACAACACGCTGGCCTTCGAGGTTGTCACCGCCGACGGCCAGCTGGTCACGGCCTCTCGCACCCAGAACTCCGATCTTTACTGGGCTCTGAGCGGCGGTGGTGCTGGCAACTACGGTGTGGTCATGTCCGTCACCGTCAAGGCTCACCCTGACGCCAAGATCTCCGGTGCTGGCCTCCAGTTCGCAGCCACGGCCAACAACACCGAGGCCTTCTGGGAGGCTGTCGCCAAGTTCCACACCCTGCTGCCCGAGATGACCGATCAGGGCGTGACGGTGATCTACCAGATGGTGTCGGGCATCTTTGCCATCAACCCCTTGACCGCGTACAACAAGACCGCCGACGACGTCAAGTCCATCCTGGCACCCTTCACCACCGCCCTCACGGACCTCGGCATCACCTACAAGGTCTCCTACACCGAGTATGACACCTACTACGACCACTACAACAAGTACATGGGCCCTCTGCCCTACGGCAACCTGGCGGTCGCCACGTACCAATACGGCGGCCGTCTGATCCCGCGTGACGTGCTCGAGAACAACCCCAGCGGCATGGCCTCCGTGCTGCGCAACCTGACCAGCCACGGCGTCGTCGCCGTCGGCGTGGGCATGAACGTCTCGCAGCCGGGCAACGTCTCCAATGCCATCTTCCCGGCGCTGCGCAACGCCGCCGTGACCATGCAGATCGGCACCAACTGGAACGAGACCGCGCCGTGGTCCCAGATGGTCGCGGACCAGTACAAGATCACCAACGAGTACGTGCCCCAGCTCGAGGCCGTCACCCCGGGCAGCGGCTGCTACCAGAACGAGGGCGACTTCCGTCAGCCCAACTGGAAGGATACTTTCTTCGGCAGCAACTACTCCCCCCTGCTCACCGTCAAGTCGAAGTGGGATCCCACCAACTTCTTCTACGTCCTCAAGGGTGTCGGCAGTGATGCCTGGACTGTGTCCGAGTCGGGCCGGATGTGCCGCGCTCAGTAATTGCTTCCCGGCGTTGTTTTCCTTTAAATAAATATATAGACTGATAGACTGTGATCTTTCTTTGATACCTTGTGATATAAAAAAGTAAGTTTCTAATATACTACGAGAATTAATGAACATATCTTGCTATAATCCAACATGTCATCCAACTCCGTGTCTATATACTAGGTAGTAGACTTCCGTACAGGGAGAGTGAACGTGGAGACGAAAGCACTGCAGGACAGTCATGTCTTTTTGCCGCAGATCTTGGGCCAGCCCTTGGATCCCAAATATGAGAACAAGGCGATGACCGACTGGCAGCGACGCCACGTGCGATAAGGTTAAACCACGGCTTTTCCATGCATGAACCCTTCTCTATTAGGCACAATGTCCGTGTACTTGCTAGCATCTGTGGCGAGCATGATCTCCAGTCGTAGTGGAGCATGTCGTCGGATCTAGCGTTGACCCAAAAATGGGGTTACTGAGGAGATCATTTGACGCTAGTTTAACAAACAAATGGGACTCTATTAAGTACTATGCATTATCTAAACCAAATGACGATCATTCGAGATCCGGTAAGAGCTTCTATATGCCATGCCCCGAACAATATCTAGTGTATTCTACCCGGGCCGAGGTAGTCTTGCTTTTAAATCGATAGCTATTAAACAGAGGATTCATTTTTTCGTCTCCGAGCGGCGGAATCGTCCTGTGGCTCGAATAAATCGCCTCGTTCGAGGTCGCTCTCGCCCTGGCCCTGGGATGAATTTCCTGGTCTCCCACTACTGCTGCCCCCGGTGGGACCCTTCTCATCCCTCATATCCGGGTGATCATACACGGTCGGTAATTCCTCATTGTAGCCATGCACGCCACCCACACTCTCCATAGTAAACGGACTAGCCGTGGGAGCGTCCAGCGCGTTAAGTTCCTCTGGGGAGAAAACCCACGGGAACAAGAAGGCGCGGACGGGAATAAGCAGCAAGATAATAACAGGGAACCCAATAGCAGCGATAGTCTGGGTGATGGCAAAGGTGCCACCGAAACCAATAAGTTCAATAATGACAAACAGCCAGATGGACCAGCGGCGTTCCAAACGCTTCAGCGGATGCGATGAAGCAGTGAACCCGTGTTCCTGGGCTAGGAAGATCAGCTTCTGGGTGATACCGTTTCCCTCCAGGGCCTGGACGCCCATGACGAAGAAGAGCCCGGCTAAGACGCCCTGCGGGATCAGATGGATGACAATCAGCAGGGGCCCGGACATGGTGCCGAGTGTCATTATTCCCTGTGCGAGATTGCTGAACCGCTGTTCGACGACGTGATCTATCACTCGCACCACTTTGCCCTTGTTTTCTTCGTTCTCGTCCGCGACGTGTCGCGTGACGCATAGCGACGCTGTGTGGAAGGGCGCTTGTGGGATCAGTCCGTTTGGCGCTGGCAGGCCCAGGATTCCTGCCACTCCTGTGGTGATCCCCAGGAGGAACATGTCCCAGTGGAATCCGGCGGGTTTCCGCAGGGGAAATTCGCTGCCTTGTGCGATGAGCGAGGAGACTGGGATCCAGGGGTCAGCACAAGTGTTGCAGGGATGAAAGGGAAGCATAAAGTGGAAGAGCCTTACCGTTGTGGTCAAAGTAAAACAAGATCGTCAACAGCAAGGCGAATGGGATAGCGAGGAAGATATCGCCGACGCTGAGATCCCAGAAGCGCACCAGCCAGCCACGGTCCGCTGTGGGAAAGAAGGATTTGCTGATCGGGAGAGTCGAGACGCTCACGTCACGCATATGTCCGAAGTGAACAAAGCCCGTGAAGAAGACGATGGTCAGTACGGTGCCGTAGTCCTCGATGAACTTTCGAACCCAGCGATGGAAGAGGCTGCTTTTGCCGATTTCACCACAGACCCAACCGCTCATGAGAACTAGCAATGCCACCATGATGCTGAGATATGCGGATGTCTCCCCGTCTGAACCCCATTGTCGGGTGAGGACCTGGATTCCCTTCTGGAGATAGACGAACGCTACATAGAACCCGAAAATGTCGCATGAGAATCGAGTGACGTATGTCAATCCATTGCACATATTGGTAATGGCGATGATCCAGTGCATAATCAGTGACCATCTGCAAAATAAAACAGTGTCAGCGGGTCATACACTCCCCCTGAGGCTGGAACCGCACTTACATGCCTATCCATGCCATGAAGCCCAAGTAATTGGTGCCTCGCGGGGCGATGATATCATAAACCGTGTAGTTGAAGACCGTGATCGGACCTATCTACAGGGTTAGTGACCAAGCTCCTAATATTCGAGAGTGATGCGTTAATGGACTCTATCCACAACGGACAGAACACTGACCAGTGACACCGACAATGACAAGCGGCTGGGCAGCGAACAAGGAAAACACCACTGCTCCAAGCACCGATGCGAGCAGGACTTCGTTCACGCCATAGTTCTGGTGGGTTTTTTCAAACATATCCAACGAGAAGGCCAGGGCCGGCAGGATGCTACGGCAGTATCAGTTTTGCACCCAATATGCCGTCCTATTATATGGTCGGCGCATTGATGAATTCATCAGACGGATTCGTCGTCAATGTACCTACTTGGCAAAGAACATATAAACTGTCGCCGGAACCACTCGATAGTCCCACGCGTCGGTCCAATCACTTATAAAGAACGGAGCTCTCCTCTTAATGTCGTGAATCATGCCTCGGAAGAAGTGTATGCGCCACCATCTTGATTTCCTCGCAGACGTCGCGGCAGACCGACGTGTGGCGTGTCGCGACAAGCGTTCGGGGTCCTGTGAAGCGCTGGGATCGCCCATTTTGCGCTGGCCACCGAAACTGTGGTGTGGCGTGAAGATGCTTCTAGGCTGGAGGAGTGAACAAATAACGATGTTCTTATATAGACTCCACTCGGAATTAAAAACTGGAGATCTATAGTCGGAGGGGGGAGTTCCGGTTGGGGAAGCGAGTCGGCAAAAACACTCCCTCTCAACATGCAAATCAACAAGTACTACTATGATAAAATAAAAGAAAAGAAGAAGGGGGAGGAGGAAGAAGACGACGGCAAGGTGTAGGACTTTTTTCTATTGACTGATAGGAGATTTTCCCTTTTTTTAACCCTCGGGAAAACGCAGCTTTTTCTTCTGCCGCATGAGCCAGAAAGAATAAAGACTGGTGGAGGCGCGCCTTAGTTAGTCACTGGCCAAATAGCATGTCGAACTAAAACTCGGATCATCTGGAAGGCAAGAGAACTATTGGTGGCCAGAGTCGAACCTCGACGTGCCTGGGGTCCTGGCGTCGGGGTAAAAGATTCAGAATTTATGAGATCGGAAAAGTTTTCGCGGATCCCGTGCCTCTCTCAACCCTCAAGAGCAAGGCCACCGATGCAGGCAGTATCAGTCGTAGTATCGACTATCTCTAAAGCTCATGTCTCAGAAGGCTAAGGGAGAAGAACAAGGCTATCTAAACAATCCAGGGAGCTTCATAGAAACACCGCCCAGCTGCTGAGCCAAATGATATCTTCACGGACCCGCATTTTCGTTTCTTGCCTCCCGAGGTGGAGATGACGCCAAGCAAAACTGACCGCAATCTCTGCCTTCATTGGACTGGTGGGTCAGTCAGAATGCTGCCCGGGCAGAAACTTGGCCGATGATGATTGAGTTGAAGAAGGCTTGGAATTGTTGACCATCGCTTGTCTGCAGTTCTTTGGTTCCTGGACCACTAAGCGGCTGACTGAAGTGGAATGATAGATTTCCAATGATTGAGCCACTTGCATACCGTCCATAGATGCCGCCAGGTTAAAGAAACAGAAAAGAAAATAAAATAAAACTTTTGTATTTAGAATGGAAAGACAGCGCATTGTACATTACAGGATGAGTCAACACTCCATGCCCGTCCAGCAAGGGTAGCAAATCAATTGGTGACATTTGGCTCGTTGGTATACAGGGATGCAATTGAACCCGGTACTAACATCGGTAATCGTACAGGTAAAGTGGAAACAAGAGTGAGCAGGGTGTCCACTCAAGCATTACGGACTATATGCTGGTGGCGTATCCTCTGCAGGGCCACCAGTATGCATGATTCCTTGCGACGGTAGAAACCTCCTGCCTGTGTAGACTACCTGGATTGGGAGCTCCAGCTTAACCGCAGCGTGGCCGTGCCCGGAAATAACCATATATATTTTCAGACTGTATCTTCTGGAGACAAGCATGGAAGAAAATGATGGTGTTAGATATGCAGGATTGTGGCACTTGAATGTCATTTCTGCCTCACTTTCCCAGATACTCTCAGTACCTAAATAGATGATTAGCAGCTCCGTATATTAGAAGGCTATAGACTACCGAAAGTCCAAATATACTGCTTCCAAGGGATATACGAACCCATTTCTGATAGTGTCCAACGAGGAAAGCAAATCTTCCTCAGCTGGCTTGGGTAGGACTTGCGCGTTTCGAAGGTGAACGGAAAGGCGGCAGCATCACACGTCGCTGGTGATCGTCGTTGTGGTTGAATAGAGATAAATGTGCTGGCCTTAAGATTCGAGCGAACGATGCCATAGAACCGTGGCGGAGGTATTCGCATGGCGCCGCCGTTCTTCGGCGATCCATATCGAAGCCGCAATCGTACTGATGTCGCGGCGCCCTCTTTCTCCGGCGAAAATTCAAGAGGCGGTGGCTCGTGGCTATAAACGTGAAGTTTCCCAGCCGGTTGGAGTAACGGACTACGGAAAGTCTTCAAGGCAGAAAGTTGGTATTCTCCGGGGAAGTCTTCGGTACAAACTGGTGGTTGCCGTCCCTGCGAAGCCCACAATGTGAACGGCCGAGTCGTTTCCACCACGCAGTGCCCTGCAATTAGGAACTGCGCGCGTATTCGGTAGTCGATATTGCAGGTTCCCTTAGAACATGAGACCGCAGTCCGATGACTCGCTGGCGAGAAACTGATATGCAGCGATGAGGGGATTTGCTGGCCGTATTTGTTCGACACGGCGCCTGTTAGACTATTAGGCACTAGAAATCGGAAGTCATAGCATTGATCTACGTCGCTGATAATCTGCTGCTCTAGATAGGTGGCGTTCAAGTTAATAATCTACTTTGTCGAATGCCCTCGGCGCTGGTCAGCCATGGATCTCGTTCAATCCTATGTTCGATAGACGCCATGCCTTTTGATAAACGTATGTGTGATAGAGCATTGTCGGGGATTCCCCCACAAGGTCGACATGGTTGAATAGTGTTCCTGCGATGAAGCTGGTCAGATATTAAGGCATAAATAGTGCTGTCGCGCTTTTGTCTGTTGTTAGAGTTGTCCTTTACCTTCTAAGGCTATTTTCACTATGCCAGATATCGGAGCTCTCTGGTCTTTCGACGACACAACAACTGTCCCTCTAACGCCTTGGCCGCTCTCGAAGATGGGAAGATGCCCGTGTTTGCGATGGCCCGAGGTCCATGGCGTAGTATTGGGGAATAATATGTCTAGAGTAACAGCCATTGCGATAAGGCCAAGCTGTGCGGTCGCGTCGCAGAGACATGATCGAGCGATGCTCGTTCCTCTATCCATCCCATGAACTGCAGTTCCATCTTGTCATATATAAGCGCCCTCGCAGCGGTGAGACTTGCATTGTTACTGCGTGGTCACAAGGATGTGCCAGGAAACATCACTTCCTTCCACTGACCAAAAGAATCCCAACCTACTCACTAGGTTCCCTCCGAAGAGGCGCCAAAACCCAAATGACAGACATACTACCGGCTACCAGCCGTCAGGACAAACGAGATAAATACTGGGGTGGACGATGGCAGCTCCTTCCCGGGCTTGTTTACAGTTGCGGTGTAACATAATGACGTCCAGCCTGCATGCGACGAGTCCGATTGCTTGCTTGGCTGCAGGGTGACGTTTCCTGGAAACACGTCATGTTAGATAGCCAGGTTGGACAGGTACGAGTAGACTGTGATCTAGAATCCAGTTCTACTATTCTGTTATGAAAGTCTAACTTACAACGCAAGTAGCATTCTTAGCTGTTCCTATTTCGTATACCCCACTAGCGGCTTCCTTTTCATTTGTCAGTCTGTAGAAATAAGCATGGTAATGATTTGGCGTAGTCTCCACGCTCTCTAGCGCATAGCCTGCGCAAAGACGAACAAGCGTGCGCCATTACTCAATATTGTACTTTGCCTACTTACCCCACTATATCTTGTGTGTAGTAACAATGCCAGTTTAGCCTAATTAAGGAGAAAACACATCCATCGATAGTGATAGCTTATTCTATGGAGTTATAGTGATAGGCAGCCTTTCCAGTATGTAACTGTCATGTGTGGTATATTAGGGTTTACATTATATAGTCAACCGATGGCCCAGGCAGAATGCAAAATCCATTCAATTGGTATCTTACCAGCATTAAATCCAGTACTCTATATATGCATTTTAAACCAGATTGCTCGTCACTGGCTAGGAGATAATGCCACCATCAATAGCAACTATACAAAGAAGAGATGTACTGATCATACTCCTGGGCCCGCAATGAGTGTCTTGATCCCCTTCCCTGATCTCACCTCCTCAAACGCCTGTGGCGCATCTTCAAACTTGAAAACTTGCGTGATCAGCGCCTTAACATTGATTTTCCCGGCAGCAATCAGCTCAATCGCGAGTTTGTAATCGCCACTCGAGTATCGGAAGCTTCCCCGAATAACGAGCTCCCTTGTGCATGCCGTCGTGATTGGAAACTTAACTTCCTCTTTGCCCATCCCTCCTTGAACATACGTTCCACCAGGTCTCAAGATATGGATACCAGTGTAGACTGAGGGCTCTGCACCAGAGGCCTCAATAACAACATCTGCGCCTACTCCGAGTTCGTTTTCTTCTCGAAGCCGAACGGCGTTTTCAGCCGGAGAGGAATCCATGCCTGGGAGGAAATGAGCAGTTGCCGCGTAGGCACGGGCGAATTCCAACCGCTTAGCCTGTACATCAACGACAATCACCTTGGAGGCCCCGAAAGCTCGTGCGACCGCACAGCACAAGAGGCCAACGGGCCCTGCGCCGAATACCACCACCGACTGCCCCGGCTGCAGGGCGGCCTGTCGAACGAGATGCACCGCAACACTGAGGGGCTCCACAACGGCACCCTCTTGTAAACTGACACTCGGAGGAAGCCGGTAACAAAAGTCCTCTGGTAAGACATAGTACCTGGCCAAGGTGCCGTCGAAGGGAGGAGTAGCAGCAAAGGCCATCTCGCTGCACAGGTTGTATTTCCCAGCTTTGCAGAACGTGCATCGCCGGCAGGGCACTCCTGGTTCTAGGGCCACACGATCGCCCACTGCTAGTGTTTTCACCTTGGAGCCAACCTTCTCGACTACTCCAGCCGACTCATGGCCCAGCACCATCGGCTTTTCGAGGACAAATTGGCCAATTCGGCCCCGCTGCCAGTAGTGGACCTAAACAGGAGTTCAGCCTGAGAACCTTCCGTTGTTTCTTACACAGATAACAATAATAAGCAACCTACATCACTGCCGCATATCCCTGTGTATTCAATTCTCACGGAAACATCGTAGGGCTCCAACAAGTCTGGTACTGGGCGATCCTCGAACTCAAGCTCTTGCACGGCTTTCAGCACCAGCGATGGGTTCTGGGACGGCAATGTCAGGTAAGAACTTGGAGTCACAATCGAGCTTTTAGATATCTCACTTTCTCTTTGTTGATCATATTTTCTGGTCTGCCTTTTTTGAAATATGCAGCTTTCGGTGCTCAAGAAAAAAGCAAACAACACAGACACACAATTCGACCTGTCACACAAGGGGTCTTCCCTCCCTTTTAAAAGCTCATCCTGGGGCGAAATCTATTAGCAATTTCGCATGATCCATTTCTCGAGATCATGAGGTTTGAGCTGTGGAGAGAGGAAGCTAGTACTCTCCACGCAGTGGAAAGTATGGCTGTGATCGGGAATGGACGGCGTTTTGGCCGACGGGGAAGTGGATGCGTGTGGATCTCTGGGGAAAGAATGTGGATCCCCCGATGCATCCGGCCACCGAAACTCTTGGAGCAGTTGGAAATCCAACGGCAAAAGACGCCGTTTGCTCCGTCTGGTATGTTCACCGGTCATTCTGGGGATCAAGTTCCATAGCACAGCACATTATCACCGCCAACATTCTGAAGTGGCCCGACTCTGGTCTCGAGTCTTAAGTACCATCGTAGCTCCCGTAGAATCCTAGAGTAGCAATTTCCTACCGAGCAACCCACCATGCAACTCCAACAAAGCTACTACATAGGCGTCGACGTGGGCACGGGAAGTGCACGCGCTTGTGTCATCGACCATACTGGAGAGATAGTCGGATTGGCGTCCGAAGATATTGCTCTCTGGCATTATGGACAGGTGTACTATGTGAGTTGTTGCCCACCGTCTATGTGTCTGGTGACGACCAACGGTTAACCTGGTGTATTGGGTAATAGGAACAATCCACCACAGACATATGGCGCTGCATCGGCTTAGCAGTGCGTCGCGCGCTCGCCGGGAACAAAATCAACCCATCGCACGTCCGTGGCATTGGCTTTGACGCAACCTGCTCTCTCGCTGCCTTTTCCACCGATACCGACGAGCCCGTCTCCGTTACTGGTTCCGAGTTTAATAGTGAGCGAAACGTGATCCTGTGGTTGGATCACAGAGCAGGAAGCGAAACAGACAAGATCAATGCAACGGGACACAAGGTATTGAGCTATGTGGGAGGGAAAATGTCTATTGAGATGGAGATCCCCAAGATCCTGTGGCTGAAGAATAATATGCCGACCGAGGCATTCGCAAAGTACAAATTCTATGACTTGGCAGATGCTCTCACTCATATTGCGACCGGTAGTGAGACGAGGAGCTTGTGTAGCCTCGTCTGCAAACAGGGCTATCTGCCGAAAGAACCTGAAAAGAGCGCGGCCGGTGGATGGGCTGAGGACTTCTTTGAGACCATTGGACTTGGAGAATTCAAAGAGAACAATTTCACTACAATTGGGGGAAAACATGGCCTGGTGAGTTGCATCTTTTCAAAGCGTATCCGATGTTAAGTCGGTTGTTTCCAGAGGTGTCACAAGTATCTAATCAACGGTTGAACAGAATGGTCAACATCTCCATGCAGGAGAGCTCGCCGGCTATTTATCTGAGAAAGCAGCCAAGGATCTAGGGCTACCAGTCGGCATTCCCATTGGTAGTGGTGTGATCGACGCCTATGCCGGCTGGATAGGCACCGTCGGGGCCAAGGTTGAACTCCCTAGCAATTCCAGTGACAAGAGACAAGAGCTCTTTACTAGACTTGCTGCGGTAGCAGGAACCTCTACATGTCACCTCGTCATGTCGCCGAATCCGGTTTTTGTACCTGGCGTTTGGGGACCGTATCGAGATGTTTTGCTGCCCGATTGCTGGATGGCCGAAGGAGGGCAATCGGCAACAGGCCAGCTGCTGAAACATGTCATTGAAACACACCCAGCATATAACCAGGCGAAGGACTTGGCCGAAGTGAAGAAGACCAACATTTTCACGTTTCTGAACGAGCATCTAAGGGAGATGGCTGAGAAAAGCAACGCCCCCTGTGTTGCATACCTCGCACGCCATTTCTTCTACTACGGTGACCTCTGGGGCAATCGATCTCCCATGGCTGATCCAAAAATGACAGGCTCTATCATCGGCTTGACAAGTGATACCTCAATCAACAGTCTTTCAATCCTCTACTACAGCACGTTGGAATTTATCGCGTTGCAGACCCGACAAATCATTGAGAGCATGAACCGGTCCGGTCATCAGATTACCTCTATTTTCATGTCGGGATCTCAATGTCAGAATGACATCCTAGTCAACTTAATTGCCTCCGCCTGTGACATGACTGTTGTGGTTCCGTTTTATGTGAATGCAGCAGTGTGTCACGGCGCTGCGATGCTGGGTGCCAAAGCTGCCACCGCGGATGCGAAAGGAAACACGGATGATCTTCAGGAGATTATGGAGAAGATGAGCAAGCCAGGAAAATGTTTCCTTCCGACTGAGGATAAGAGAGAGAAGGATTTGCTGCGGGCAAAATACCACGTCTTCCTCGACCAATGTCAAAAGCAGAGAGAGTACCGGGCGTTGGTTGACCAGGTCCTGGCAAAGTGAGCCATGAGGGCTATGAGTTCACCAGCGTAATGGAGGTCGCGCGACACTAGCAACTCAGTGGACATTGAATCAAACGATCACAAAGCGCAATGCGGCGTTGGCAACCCTAGCGTTGCAGCATACCGTTACCTACCAAGATACCATCAATGGTCCAAGGGCCTAGATCAATACTCGCAAACGGGCATTCTATACTGACAAGAGGTGCTTGAAGCGAATTTAGCTAATTTCTAATTGTTCATGAGTTTGGGCTAGATAGGGCAAAATGAAACATAATGATAACGTCTACCTTATGAGTGATTTATCCACTAGAAATATATAAAGAGGGACTCGAAATATCCTTTTACAGAAGTGAATCTACATTGGCAGTACTAGAACTTCTCTACTACGATCCAATATTGTATTACGACCAACGATTAAATTAACAAGAACTCTGTGACTTCTATATGGGGCTCCATCGTGCTATATATAATATTGCAAGTACACACCCAATGATACATTCGGTTGACGCCAATGTACCTATGATAGTTGCTTGGATTGATTACTCAGGTTTACAACTTTACCAAAACATATTCCAGGATAAAAGAAAATTTCCAAAGCTTTTGCAGTAGATGCTCTGGAAGAAGCAAGAAAAGATGAGGCTAAACTTAATGGAATAGTGTCAAGGGGAAAAAAGAAAAGCAAAAGTTTAGTGCATCATCCGTGAATCGAACACGGGCCTCATCGATGGCAACGATGAATTCTACCACTAGACCAATGATGCTGCTGAGCTATTGGCTCTTGATGGAAGAATCTGTCTTATTTAGTTTTATATTCCAGGAGAATGTGGTACAATGCAAGGGTGAACACCATGGCTACGTTGCTGTATAAAAGAAACTATCACTCCCCGATCTTCCTCATGTAAAACTACGCCATCGGGTAAGTATTTCCATATAACAGAGCGCTGAATCGTACTTCAGCAATATTGTCTTTCACTCTAATACACTCGTGCAACTCGGTGGACTCAGCCACGGGACAGAGAAGTAAAGGGATACATGTGTCCATGGTCGGACAAAGTAGCTTATCTTCTAGTGGTACAGTTCTATTAACGAATTGGCGCTAGATGAGTAGAATTAACTAATCTGCAACGTGGTGTCAACTGAGACTCGAAACTATATACTTATGTATTGTTAACTATCGCTATGTACAGGCATATTCTGAACAACAGGTTCTTTTGGGGGCATATCGTGGACTGCGGACTCCCCTGTAGCACTCGGCTCCTCATCCAGTGCATACGTCCCCTTGCCATTGTCCATATCCGTCCGGATCAGAGCGTATCTTTTGTCTAGCTTCATCAGATGTGCCGCCCGTTCCGATACGCTCCACGACGAACTGTCTCTGAAGTCGTCCAGCATCTTACTCTTGGCAATCCAGGGAATCATTGAACCAATTGATCGGGGACTCCGGGGAAAATCAAACCGCCTCTTTCTGGTGATAAACACATACATGAGGACAAATGTGTCGAAGGCTATAATCAGGAAGACAACGATAAAAGCCGGTCGAACGGGAATCAAGGACATGAAGGTGTCGTAAATAGTAGCATCGGGAATCCGTACGGGCTTTGACAGGCGATTGAAATGAAAGTCACGATGGAGCGTGACATCGGTCGCAAAGACTGTCTGGTAGACTAGGGTTGCCGCCTCGATCAAGAGGTCAATATCGATTGTAGTTAGGTCGTTTGTGTTCTGCTGCTTGTACACATGGGCAGCCAAGAGTCCAAACCAATTCTGCAGGATTTTATGACGGTCCTTTGGAGGATATTGGGTGATATTAGACTCAAGTGGATTCGCGAATGCTCGATTGTAGTTAGCCAGGCTTGCAGTGATATTGGCCAGTACGGGGCCCTCCGTGATGTCGGTTCCGTTCATAGCATCATAGGTCTCCACATATCCGCGAAGGTCGAAGGTGGCAAGAAATGTTTGGATCGTAGCACTAGACTCGCAGTACAGGGTGGCAATGTTCCCTCGTGGAACTTGATCAAGCCCCGCCTCATTCAATTGGGCAACGACCAGAATGCCAGGCCTTTGGCATAGGGGATGCCTTTGGTCTGATTCGGTCGGGGCGATGAAGTCAACGCTAAACGGCGCTTTCGAGCCACCAAGGGCTGATTCTTGCACACGGACTCGACAGGTTGTGTTCGGATGCCCGGATGGGGAATACTGCCAATAGGTCGGACCTGAGAGAATGTCTTGGGAATGGCCGTTTGCCGCAGAAAGGAGTTGGCACGTTAGGTTGGCACCGATGCCGACCAACGGACTGGTAGCCCATTGGTCTTCTGTCATGTTCGACTGCACGGGAAGCAGGGAGTGAGATGTAGTGGTCCAAGGAAGTATAGGTATACCGGTGTAGATACTGCTCTGGAAAAGATCGGCCTCCGCCAAGATCCAAGTGTGATTGCCGGTAGTATAGGATCGATGGTCATATTCCGATTCGATAATGTTATCGGTGGCCATCGGGGAGTATTCCAGCGAGAAGAGAGCGCTTGCAAGAATAGTCAGAATCGTGTTGAGAATACACGTCAAAGATACAAGGCCAAGCAGTA